TTACGCCCCTTACCATATTGTGATGCCGTGTCCCGGCGCGACGAGACAAAACCAATAAAACCCATTATAAATGAGGCATTTGTAGCATCCAGTGGGGACATAATTACGGATTATGATGACTTATACTGTCTTTTTACATATTGAACAGCCGGCATTGTAGTCTAGGATCAGGAAACAGTCCTCCATAAAATGCGTTGCACACATCTAAATATATTTGGTTTGAACTGCTCTGGAACAGTGTTGTAAATACAACTTAACCACTTATGTCTAGTTGTATCCTCTTTTGGAAGGCCAAACAAAGTAGTTTCTCTTTCACAACGAAACACACAGCGTCTCCAAAAACAATACTACAGCGAGAATCAAAGTTATGTCTTCTTTCTTTGCGTGAACATTTGGGCGGTGTTATGCAAATCTTCCCACACAGTGACGTAGACATATGGGAGCATGTTTAAACGAGGCGTTTTAGGAGGGCGTGGACAAGTCTTAACTTTTATAAAGAATATCTCTTTGGGTTTGAGACTTTAGTCTTTGCAACTTTAGGGATCTTATCTATTCACGAACAGCTTGTAACACTCCAAAGAGAAAGGAAAACTTGAAATTGCATCATATGACCCCTTTAAAGGCTTTCAGATCCTACTTGGACTATATATTTTTTTAAATTAAAATTGCATTTGCCATCCTCTTTTAAATTGGTGAAAGTTTATGAGCAACATTTTAGCTTTGTGTTTCTCTAAAATGGTCTCTGTTCCCATTGAAAACATTCTCATAACAAGCAATAACCCTGATGTTATAGACGCTTCCAATAATTCCCTCTCATCCCACATCTACTCTGAGATTCAATTCAGTTTCAGTGTTCTAGTGCACAGGCCTTTGTGTACATACACTAGTGTGTACAATGTGTGTGATGTGGAATATGTGTGTATATGGGTATGGGACAATTTGTCAATGTGGCTGTTGAGGGGCACAATAGCTCAGTTCCAAATCGTTTAAGCGAGGCAGGTTCATGGGTCATTAAACTAGCTGGATAATGCTTTTGCGTTCATTACATTGGAATGGGCCTGCATAGACACAGGGCTCATTAAAAAAAGATAATTGAGAGAGACGTAAGAATGAGAAACCATACTTGTTGAAAAATGTAGGCAATTTTTTAAAATAGAAAAAAATAAAAATATACACTTCTCTTTTCATCTTGCTTCTATTAATTTTATATATTAAATACATTTATTTTATATTACTTCAAATATATAGTTTAAAGATTCCTAATACTTTATTGTGATTATATGCTATTCTTGCTGTGGGACTTTTCCCATTATATTAAAACAATTACTCATTGTAGATGTATGAAATCAGTCTTCAGTGTCATGCAATTATGCTTGTGTATTTTTCTTGTATCATTTACAAATTGAAAATCTCAGTGAGTAAATGTTTGTGTGCTTCTGATAATGTTATGTTCAGTGGTCCATGAATAGTTTTGCAAATAAATGGAAAATATGATGGCAAGAAAAATAATATTAGCCAAGGGGTGTGAGCATCATATCACACAACAATATAATCCCTTTAAAATTGACAACGATACTGTAGCTGCTTAAAAGATGGAAGAAAATATAAAATGCTATAAATACATAAAATATAGAGCAAAGAAAGAAAGATATCTTAGCTGTTATTGATTGTAACATTGTCTTCTCATGTACCAGTCAAGGTCTCCTTCAGTTTCCTTGTTAATCAATTTAGTAGCATGTGATGTCATTGGCCGTCCCACTAATTAGGCCAGTGAGCGGTTCAACACTGATCTCAATTGTCAGAATGTAAATATCTCCCGTTTCCATGACGAGAAGTGCTTCAGTCATACAGCAATACAATTATGTGATGGGCCGCAGAATGTGCTCTGTTAGGAGACCAATTAGCTTATCTCCATGTCCATTCAGTCTTTGTTTTGATACCACATTACAGCATCTTCATTTGCATTGATGAGGGGATTGTCAGAGGAATAGGAGTTTAATGCGAGATGGATTTTTTCTTTCTTGGTTGAGTGGAATAGATGTCATTAATTAGAATAAAGGCTGTGACAAGAGGATTTAATTTTATAATTTATTTCTAAAAAAAAAGAGAAATCCTGCTTTTAAGAAATACAACTGTGGTCATGCAATATTTTTCAAAGTCTTAGTGGTCCTAGCCTCAGCTATTTATTCTCTAGTGTTATTTTATCAAAATGTATTCTATTTTAGCTGCTGAATATTACACAAATAATGATCAACAGCTTTCAATTCAGTCTGACAGGTGCAGTTGACAATGTGGCATACATGGGTGAGGGGGAAACAGTCCCATTAGACCGAATTGACTTACTATTCTCACTGTATGACATCTGCCAGTGGTGGGTAAATTGAGAAAATATACCAGCTATAAATATTTCTTATATATTTGTCTCTATGACAACAGAGACAATTTTTTTTTGCAAATTTGTGACAAACAAAAGGTCATGGTGCCACTCAAAATGAGCAGGTGACACTGCACCTCCTGAAGATTTTGAATTATATATGAATTAAAGACCTATTTATTTTAGTTTTTCTTTTTTGTGGAAGTTTATACTTTTAAACAAGTTTATAATTCTAATTGTAGTTAACAATAACAACACTGGGAAATCACTGGGGAAAAACTCTAACCAACATTAAAATCAGGCTAAGCAGAAATCAAAATTAGTGCATAAGAACCAATCAACATATGCATTGGCAAATGATTATTTTTTTCTCTTATACAGAGTCATCTCAGTTTAATAGAAAAAACTCCACCAGCATGTTGACAATAACAATAAAAAATTTTGGTCAACTGGTGGATGGTTATTTATTTATTTGTGGTTGTGAATGACTGAATGAAGGGAGAGTTTATCCTGTGTTCACTCGGATGCTGCTGTATTATTAGAGGGCTTTTGAGTTTCTCTGACTTTGCATCAGCTGAATGGTGTTTTTCAAGGTTGACTTCAGGCTGGTGTGGTCAAGACATAATTTAAATGTACTATCAGCAAGCCTCTGCCCCCAAGCCCCAGCGGCCACAAATACTCGGCTTTAAACGAATTGGACTCCACCATCTCTGGAGTCTGCTGTTATCAAGTCATTTCACAGGCCATTTCCTAATTGCCATCTGAAGCCCGTTCAAGCATGCAGGTGCTCTGAAGAACACTTTAGCATTTAGGGTTTTTGAGTCCTGCTCTCGTTTTTTCAAAAGCAAAACGGTGGAATGGATTTCCGCCAAATTGGAACATGTTGAATAAACACGTTCGTCTGCAAAGAGGCTTCAGTAAAAGAAAATGCAGACAGCTATTTAATGAAGAGCACATAATCGTTAATTCAAGCTTGAATTCTGCATTAGGGCCTATGTATGTTATGAATGTTATGGTTCTAGTAAGTTGAACCTTTGAAATCTTACCTGTTGGAACTTTTTTTTTTTTTTTTTTACAAGTTTCATTGGGTTTTGCTATAGGTCTGGTTCTGCTAGACATCAGCAGTGACCTTTTTTCCTCTCAAAGTCAGCTGTCAACCACCCAGAGGTCATAGTCTGTAATTTGAGTGCTGACCATCACCTCTCTGGTCCAAGGCTTTGGGTTGCACAGACATTTCCGTCTCCCACCTTCTGCTTCAAACCCCTAGAAACATCCATATGGGGTCTTGACTCTGGGCCCGTGACTCATGACTCGCCAAGCAACAGATGGACGCCTCCTAGAATATACAATAACAGCTTCGACTCACTATAGTGAACATAACATGTCTTATTCACCCTGAACCTAGGGTCAGATATGGTACGTCTAGCACAGAGTGACAACCACCTACAATGCAAAAAAATTATTTTCTTACTTATTTTTGACTTGTTTTACAGTACAAATACCATGTTTTCTAATAAATGTATTAAACTTAAGCTTATATTTAACACAAGAAAACCTGTCAATATGTTGAGAAAAATGTAATTCAGAGGAAAAATTAGTTTTGATGAATATTAAAAAAAACAAGACTGTATATCTTGTCATTTTGTCAAGTAAATTTAACTTGATTTAAGAATATTTAGTTTTTTTATTAATTGAAAAAAAAAAATGTATTAAAAAAAGACAAAATACTTTTTAAATATTGTGCAGTGTGTATAATTCACATCTGCTTTATAGAGGAATACTTCACTCAAATATTAAATATAAAAATAATTTACTCTTGTCTTCTTTTGCCTTTTTGGTAAGGAAGATAACTTTGGGATTTGTGTAAATCCCACAATTTGCAATTTTTTTATCATGTAAAATTGAGTTGTCAATAAAACCGTCTATAACACTCATGTGTTGAAGACACAACACTCAGTAGCTCAGGAGATAAAGTGTTGTGTTTTAAACATGGAGTCCTGAGTTCCAATCCCACTATTGCCTACTTTGAATTGCCATTATTTCATACAATGCGCCCCAATGCCAACTTTCAATGTGAATGCTGCAGTGGTTTAAGCACATGTTAGTTGTGTTAGGATTATGTGTTCAAATCCCACTCTTGCAAATATTAAATTGTTGACAGAATTGAATTATCTAGTAAAGTGTTCTAAATGCCATTATGAAAGCCATGATGGTGCAGTGGCTTAAACATACGTTAGTTGCAGACAAGGTGGGTTATGGGTTCAAATCTGACTCTTGCGTACATTAAAGCAACACTACGTAGTTTTTTGACTTTAAAATAATGTCTCTAAAATAATTTCAGTGGTAGAACACCTCTTAACCGGACAAATTCTACTGCCGCTGCAACCTGAGAAGGCTCCTAGCCGCTAGAACCACACTCTGTAAGTTTCGTGTTCGGGTCGGTACACACAGCCCGGCCAGCGGAAGAGTGCGCCCTGCTTATACGTCACATATTTTACTTGTAGCCTGGTTGGAGTTAGCCAACATCTAACTATAAGACGAAACGATCTAATATGCAAGTCTCAAAACCAACGCTATGGCAGAGCAGTGTCCAATGTATAGGTTTTTTTTTTTACTTTAAAATTGTAAATGTATTCCTCTGATGACAAAGCTGAATTTTCAGCAGCCATTAATTAAGTCTTTAGTGTCACATAATCATTCACAAATCATTCTAATATTCTGATTTAAATTACTTTTTAAATTTAATTTAATAATTAATTTACTAATTTACTAAAATTACAGTAATTTAACACACCTATAGACAGTGTTCGAACTACATCGTGGACTTTGGGGGAGCCCACTTGTTTTTTTTTTTTTTATAACGGGGTGTGTGTGTTTATTAAGGGGAGCCGAGCTCCCCCTAGCTCCCCTGTAGTTCGCACCAGAAATAATCTTCAGTGGTACCTTACATACAATGTCCATTTACATTTTCTGAGGAAATATAAGTGGCTTTTGCCTATATGCAAAATGTGCTGGCACAATATTAGTGTATTCTGGGTGTCATCACTTGCAAAACTTTTCATAAAATGTATTTCTGTTAAAGGGGGCATAACACACACAGTTTCACCCAATCTTATGCTAACCTTGAGTACCTATAGAGTAGTACTGCATCCTTCATATCTCCAAAAAGTCTTTAGTTTTATCATATTTATAAAAGAAAGATACAGCTTTACGATTCTCTCCGGAAAAAGCAGAGCTCCTGGAGGCCCGCCGTTGGCGGAGCTAAAGAGTGACGAGCACTTGGGTGCCGAATGCCAATAAAACAGACATTTGATGCCGTTTCACTTACCGTCTGCAGTTCTGAATCATGACCGGGATTGCTCCATCTTTCAGTATCAAACGATGTAATCCAGTGTCGAACTGGGCCTTGTTTATAAAATGTTCGTCAACAAACACACTTTTCTGTACCCACTGTTTACATAACCCTGGGTTCTTTAGGAAGCTGAACAAGGTTATCTTTCCCTTACAACCAAAAACACACTTCTTTGGATTGGAGACCGTGACGAGTGGGGGCGGGGCCAAGAGCCGTGGGAACGGAGCGAGGCCGGTGGAGTAATTGATAATGAGCGACACCTGCACCACTTACCGGTCTCGAGTCTCACGGAGGAGCTCCGGAAGGATAAAAAGGAGGAGTGACGACAGTGAAAGACGAGAGAGGACCAGGCCTGGAGGCTTGAGGCGGTGGGCTGGAGTGAGTTACCGGGGAGGGGGGGCGGACGAACTCGCTGCCGGCCACCTGGGCTGTGGAGGGACGGCTGCTGTCCGTGAGAGAGCGGAGGAGTCGCCCCCGTTCACCTGAGGCCGGAGCCTGCTGCCATCCGCCATGATGGGGAGGAGCAGGGAACGGGGGACTCCTGCCGGCTGCCCGAACACGGAGGAGCCGTCGCCGTCCACTGGGCTGGGAACCGGAACAAGATTTTTTTTTTCCTCTCTCCCCTCTCTCGTCTCTGTCTCTCCTCATCCTTCCGTCTCCTTTTCTCTCGCCTCGTCTGTCTGTCCTTTCCCCCAGGTACGCCGCGGCCGCCGTGATTGGCTCCCCTGGAGGGGGGAGGGGGGAAGTAGAGCGCAGTCTCAGGAGTACCCCCGGCCTGCGAGGGGCGATGGGGGTATGTGATGGGGGGCGATCGGTCTCGAGTCTCACGGAGGAGCTCCGGAAGGATAAAAAGGAGGAGTGACGACAGTTTATTTTGTGTTTTGGTTTCGTTTGTGCTATTTTGTGTTTATTTTATTATTAAAGTTTCTTTGAATGTCCGCCGGTTCCCGCCTCCTTCTTCCCGAACTATGATCTTTGCTACAGAGACATTCTTCCCGAGCAAGTCCCGTGCAGCGCTGCCGCTGGATGAAGCGCGTTGATGGGCGCGATCTCGCTCTTGCTCTCACTCTGGTCGATGCGTGTGCGGGCGCGTTCTTCGGGGAGAAATGCCCATATAAGGAGCTCCACTCTCGTCTATGTCATGAAGAGCAACGATCGAAAAAAACTCTCCCAAACTTGTATGAACCCGGAAGTAAGATTTTTGGCACAGAAATACTCCGCCATGTGTCCAAATTGTTTTTTGAAACTTTGTCCATGCTTAGCATGAGAATCCAACTCTTTAACAGTGTAAACAACTCTGAATGTATGAAACAGCATTGCACCCCCCCTTTAAAAGATATTTGTCATGTTTGAATTAATCCCTAACCCTAAATTACAAGCAATGTTGTTTATATTGCCTTAATAAAACTGCCCTAAAAATTACCTTTAACACTATAATCAGTAATAATTATTGACATAATTGCATTACATTGCATGTGTTTACATATGATATACGAGTTGTTATTAATCATCTAAGGATCTGCATTTAATTTGTAATAATAATTTGAATTTATACATTATACATCAGTTAGTTTTTATCCTCAAATTTGATTGGCTAATGTCACTAATCTCCGTCTCTGGGCATTAGTGGCGAGGATGTTTTAATTACTTTTTCTACAGTTACGTTTTTACACCAGTAGGTGGCATATTACACCAGTAGGTGGCATTAAAGTGACTTTATCAGTCTTTATGAGTGAATCACGACATCATTCAACCGGTCTAATCATTTAAAAACATTGATTCATTCAGGAACAAATCACTGAGTCAACCGATTCATTCAAAAACACTGATTGATTTCGCAACAGCAGTGCCTTCAAGATTGACTCACTGAATCATTTACTTAATGAGTCATTCAAAAACACGGATTCATTCAGGAAACTTAACTTGCTTAATTTTTTAATTATTAAAACTTTTCACTGGCATATTCTCACAGGCAGTGAGTTTCCAGTGACAACAAATTTGCTTTCTGAGGTTTTTAATTAATTGAAAACATATGGATCTCATCTCAGAAACAGCTGCAATGCTCTGTTTTCCAGCCAGAAATAACAATAGAAGACTAACCAGAAAGGGTCACTTTGTATAGTGATATTTGAACCTGTCAGTAATTGGGTTTTTCTGGGCAGAAAGCCATACTGCCTAAAAGATGTGCTGCTAATTTGATCAATTAGCACTCATGAAAAACAGCAACCATCATATATTTTCTGATATATGTAAACACACTGCTGTAGATGTATCTGAAGTGCAATGCTGATTTTTGCATGCTAAAATGTGCCCCTGATATTCTTTGTGGTGACTAAATGAGCACTGCAGAATGTAATCAAACAATTTCATCACTGCTAAATAATTATTGCTAATGGTGTTTACATAGACTTTATTTCCTTTTAGAGTCAGCAGCATGCAATCCATTAATTTGTCTTAACTATATATTAACCCTATAAAGCAGGGATCCTCAAATCTGGCCCACGAGATCCACTTTCCTGCAGAGTTTAGCTCTAACCCTAATCAAACACACCTGAGCATGCTAATCAATGTCTTCAGGATCATTAGAAAATCACAGGTAGCTGAGTTTGATCAGGGTTGGAGCTAAACTCTGCAGCGCATTGGACCTCCAGGGTAAGATTTGAGGAACCCTGCTATAAAGCCTACTGTATCATATTCGTTATTATTATTGTTTCAAGATTAACATTTACTGGACTGAATATTTACTTGATTATCCATACATATATTTTTTAGAAAAACGTGTTAAAATGGCAGTGTCACATATGATACACCAGGCACGTTTATTTATGAATGATTTATTTGCACACACGTTTTTCTTATTCTTGTCTGTTACCTGTAGTGGGTCTATTAGTCATTTTTACACTCCAACACTTTATGCACAGGTCTCTTTTGACATTGGCTTGTCAGGTGCTTTGTCCCATCCGCTGCTACAGGATCATCACTGTCAATCATAGTAATTTCAGGAGTAACTGACACAACTATTTAGCAGATTCACTCCCCTGATTACATGCGTTTGTCACTCCTGAGACTTTGCATTATAGGTG